TCCATGGAGTCCGCCATGTTTCTATAGTTTCTCCTTTTTGTTTGGAAGAAGAGGGTGAAGCGAGAATGTTGTGATCTGCAAATACACCCCTAGACACCACTAAATCCAACATACTGGACCTATAATACATGAAACACGTTTGTTTGAGGTATCTCAATGAACCATCTCGTACAACAGTAGTGAATGTAAACACGAAATACTAAATTTGGAAACCTGATAATAAGCGATTATTTTTATTTAATTCCTCAGTCCTACACAGTGCAGTAGTGTACAGTACAGATACAGTGTATCTAAAGAAAGGGTACTGACATTGTAAATCTTGTAAATGTAAATGAATGGAGGCTCCCTAGTTGACTGAGCCTTGTTAAAGAGTTATTGACTGGTAACCCAATCTGTAATGTATCCTAATCTGCAGGTAATCTGACCTAAAACACAGTGTATCATGTGAAAATCTGTCATTCAAACACACATCCCTCCCTGCATGTTCTTTCAAACAAGCAACAACGTGACAAATACTCAATATGTAGGCTACATGACACGCACAAACACACACACAGGCATAAAAAAAAAAAAAAACTCAATACCTCACAATACAGAATATGAAGTGAGCAGTATATATAGCCTCTGTTTCTGTGAGTCATACGATCACATGGGTGTGTGCTGCTCTGCACAGACAATGCATGTGTGAAGGAAACTAAGTGTCTTCCCTGGAGAAGGTGTTGGCTTTCACTGACTTTTAAATACACACAGAAACACACACACACACACACACAATATAATGAGATGAGCCTTTAACTATTGAGCAGGTAAAGGGTACAATGTGTGTGAGTTAAAAACGCTCGCAGGCACAAAGACAGACAGGCAGACAACAGGAAATACGACTTCCATTCACATTGTGTTAAACCTATAGCACAAAAGGTGCAAGCAGGACTGAGAAGAATAGGGGCTTTTTTTAAAGTCAGGAATTAAAGAGCATATGCTCATCACATCCCACTCTGGTTACTTTGGAGTTAGGATATTTATCATATCCAGTTACAAATAAAGCTCTCACATCCTGTTTATACCTTTTATATCCAGAGCTGATATACACCTGGCATTATACAGCCCACTTCCCTTGCAGATTGGCATACTGTATATTCAGATAAATCACTTTTTAATCTGCGTGCACATGTCTAAACTCAATTAAAAATGAAGTGAAAGCACTGAGGTTGTTGGTTGGGAAGAAACAGGAGAAACAGATGGAGATTTTTGAGTGCTCGGTTTAAAATACTTTTTTTATTGCATGTCAGTAATGGTTGACTAGTTGGTAGCCGTAACAGTTGCCAGAATTCATTTGCAAAAATCTAAATTTATTTTTATTAGAAAGACAGAAATGCCAGCCCTCACAGTAACAACGTTCCCATCCCAAATTTTGTAATTTGTACTATTTTTCAGTGCACTTTTGTGTTGACACTGCATCACCGGGTTGTTTGAATGAGATAGATGGTGTGTTTGCCAAGAGAGTGCAGGGTTACGTATCACACCTCCATATCGTCTGACAACAGAACAAACTGTGTCTGCAATAGAAAATCTAAACTAAAAAATGTTCAGTATCCAAAGTTGACTCTGAGTGCTTGGTCTTAAAACACTGTGCTGATACATTTGTCACATTGTTTTTTGATTTATGAAACGGTTGTGTATAAAAACATGTTTATCTTTCTACTACGGTACTGAAAGAAGTATTGTTTTGGCACTGAACCCATCCCTCACCAGAGGTCCTGTACATCATGTACACTGAGGAATTTGTCACACAGTGATGTAAGTAAACTGAAGTAAGCCTCTCTACCGCTATAGTGCTCTGCAGATAATGCTAAACATGAACTGATCGTGACTGACAACAGCTGCGTCTTGTCCCAACTCATTAGGAGACAGTTGTTTCCTCCAAATGTGAGCCTGCGTGAACAGGAAAGCCACAGGGCTGAAACATCTACACATGTGTTTACTGCACTGAATGATAAGAGATAGATTTAGAAATCTAGCAATCCTAAATGTTGTGCTTGGAACTATTTTTTCTTCTGATGTGGCTGTTTCGTTGGTTTTAAAGTAGTTTTCCTGCAGTAAAATGTGTCCATATATTATAACCCTTATATTGAGGTAAGATCCCCCTCTTATATCCAATGTATCAGCGTCAATATGTAGTTACAGGCAGGGCAGAAGGCTACAATCTACAAAATTACACATTCATGCACATTAAACTAAAGCAATTCTGATATTAGTACAGAATAAAGAGTGTTATTTTCAGAAGAAAAGACAGATTCCAGGTCTCTTTTCTTTAAATTCGTCTTAAATCCATGCATTACTCTGTCCTTCAGTGTTAAGCCCTTTTATAATTTCTGACAGGCAACAGGAGCATCAGACCTGAATGTTTTTATAATTAGTTTTATAGAATAGTTTAAACTTTTGGCTACAGTGAAAAGAAAAGAAATACTAAAAGCAAACTTAGAGTTGAGGATGGATTACTAGGATGGATGGTTACTTTCAAGCTCTTATTTGTACTGCTACCTGTCTTGTAAATTGCAGCTGCAGTATGGCTGTATCATCCAAAGAATTAATGTTCCTCCTAATGGCCGTAAAGTTGCAGAAAAGACATCCAAATGAGATCTTTCCAGGTGCAAACATTACTACCTCATACACCAAAATGTTGTTTATATGAGGGATCTCACCCTGGTCGACACTAACATCCTCCAGATTGACACTGACACAGGAGTGCAGAGGAGTCTGTCTCTCCCTGAGTGGAAAAAGCTAAATATACCAACCTTGGGTCTCTGAGATGAAAAAGATTGAAGAGCCCCCTGTTCTGGGGAATTCTGCTGCCGGTCGCCATCTTTCTGTTCCTATTTGGCTGTCAGTTGTAATGGGTTCTGGGCAGGAAGAACTCTTGCTCAAATAACTAGAGCAGATCAAGGTCCAAGTGACTGAAGCATTGTGTTTTTCATCTGTCAATAAAAGATTAGTTTTTAATGGAAAGGGAAGGGAGAGCGACCTGTCAGGTCCCTTCCTCGGTCATCCATGAAACACCGACAGAAACCTTGAGTGACTCACTTATTCTGTCTTTGTCAACCTGCCTCACTGTCTGTCTCTTCTTTTTCTTTGCTGTCTGTTTCTGCCTCAACCTTTCTTTGCCTCACTCTTGTCTGTTAGTTGGTCTCCATGTCACTCACACACCCACGCATACACACACACACACACAGGCATCCAATATTAATAACTCACCCGCCCATACAGGACTGTTTTCATTGACACACCATGAAATGACCTTCAGATCGTACACACACTGAACACCTCAATCTCGCCTCTCTTTCATTTCCCTCCTTTGCCAGGCCTTCTGTGCATCTTGGAGTAGAGACAGAGAGCGACAGAAGATTGCCTTAAAGGGGAAAACAACTCAATTTCACAATCACCACTTTCACATTTTACTCTGTCTGCACTTTCCTCAAGGCCAAGACAGTTTAATCAGTATTGAAGAGTGGCGACCAGAGAGACGAGATACAGAGACTTTGATGCGTGATGTCTGGTTGACTGACTGGGTGACTGACTGAGTGTTGAGCTGATTGATTAGTGGACTGGCTGTGTAATTGACTGATTGATTAAATGCATGATTGCTTGAATGGTCGGATGGCTGACTGACTGACAGGAGAGGGTACCAGAATGAAACAAAAGAACAGAATAACCACATCTTACTCTTTTCTCTGTTTCAACTTTGTTACAGCGAGCTTATGCTGTGAGCTTGCTGAGCTCTACTTGTTACTGGATATTGCCCCAGGCTAGCCTAAATTATTAGTTTATGCAAATTACAAAACAGGCCATTTCAGCATCTCCCTCTCTCTCTCTCTCTC